TTCAAAATAATAAAGTTGTTAGTACACAATATCCCTAGTTAAATAGACTAATCATATGCATCTAATTAGAAGTTAGTTTTCATTCATCTAATCTGGTGCTTTTTATTATTTTTTTAGACCTTACAATGTATATAGGTCATACCTCAAACAAAATGCTTTCAAAATGAGTAAGCCACAATCACTACACATAAGAATGTAGGTAAGCGTATAATTCTTGCTTTTACGTTCTATTAGTAATGAAAGTACTGTTTACTTTATTAAATTATTGTACTATGTCTATTTGAATTAGTGCGCTCAACAATATGGTGGTACCGAATGTGCTTATTACGTAATGAGATATATGTATGAGATAGTTTCTTTCCATAGCGATTGCAAGGGTAATTTGAAAGAGGTTAGTGATGAATTTACCTCTTATTTGCAAGCTAAATGCTTTATACGTATTTTGGCCGATATTTTATTTCAAAAAAGTATAATAAACATGTGTTTTACCAATCGTATAATAGGAACTAGCTAGGAACTAATCTAGACCGTCAGATCTAACATAAAAGGCGCGTGATCTAACGGCCCAAATTCATCACGAAACTTTCTCACTCCAAATTCTCTCTAGTCAATCTCTCTCCTCCACTGAAGCAAGTGCACTGAATAATTCTCCATTGATGCGGCTTCCAAGATTTCTTTACTCCATCGACGCAAAATCCAAGCTTTCTCTACTCCATTGAAGCAACTTCTGAGGTAAGAAGTTTTATTTCTCTCTGGTTAGTAATCATTAAATTTCGATTTCATTATTGAGGGTTTATCGTTTATTCTTAAATGGAACTCTTTGAATTTCTTTATGCGTTCAATTTTGATATCAAATTTACATTTAGTATTACCAGTTCTCAATTAGAGAATGATTTTAGAGATTGATTTTGTTGCTAGATTTTATCTAATCAACTAGATATGATTACTCTGGCATCCAAATTTATGTGAATTTTGGTAAGTTTTCGAACAATTCTATGTGAATTAAGTGAACTCTTGTTTCATAATTATATCGATTGAAGTTATATGAATTTTTGGATGTTTTAGCTTACATTTTTGTACTTTTTGGAGCTTCGTTGCTACTTTGATGCTAGGTTGCTGTTGTTGGATGTTGTTGACTTATCCATGAAGGTGGATTTTGTGCTCTAATAAATTTATCAATTCCAGTAGATATAAACCAAGTAAAAGTAAACCAATTGGATTTTAAAGTATGAATAATTCCTACATAGGTTCTCTGAAAATACATATTAATTAAAACACTCTAAAGTTATTCAAAATAGCTCACAAGTAAATCAAAATAACTAAAAAGTAAATCACATTAGCTCTAAAGTTATTCAAAATGCATAGTCTACTTTTTCCTAGGTAGGTAAAACCTCTTAGTAATCTGATTAAAAATAATGTGGGTGCTGCAATCATTAATAGGAAGGAAGTGGGTCTTGGGGTGGTTGTACGGGACTCAAATGGCAAGATTTTAAACACTCTAGTAACGAGAAGAACTAGCATGTGGGAACCAAATGTTGCTGCTGCTTTGTGTTATGGGGTTGAGATGTCATGTAGTTTTGGCTATAGCTGGTGTGGATGGAGAATGATGCTCTCACTATCGTTGAGAAAATTAAGAGGAAAATTTCAAGGCTTAGCTATTTGTTTCTCTTGACTGGTCGTGTTATTTATTCAATGTATTAATTTGATGATTTTCGATGAAGTCATGTTAAGAGAGTTGTTAATACTTTAGCACATTTAGTTGCTAGATCTTTCCAATGATTGAGTTGGGGCATTTTCTATGTCCAATAATTAAGTTGTTCGATCCTAAGCAAAGCTGCTGTTTTTAATGGCGTTGATGTGAGGTTGGGTGTGTGCATCAGAGATGATGGTGGGAGGCTGCTAGCTGTTGCAGTTTGAAGGGTGCTAGATGATGGTACGGTGAAGCTGGCAGAGGCTCTTGCAGTTAGATGGGGTGCTACTTTCGCTCAACAACTTGGCTTCAAAAAGGTGGAACTAGAATGTGATGCTATTGAAGTTGTTCAAGCTGTTTGCTAGAAAAGGCAAGGTAGAACTCCCACTGATATTATAATTGAAGACATTTGTGAGCTTGGGAAGGTCTTTGAGGTGTTCTCTTGCAGTCATGTAAGAAGAGGGGGAAATGTCGTCGCGCACGTAGCTGCTAGGCTTGATCTGATTGGGGGGATTGAACTAGTTTATACAGACTCTTTCCCGCATGGTATATCTGATATTGGGGAGCTTGATGTAATCTGATTTCTTTATCAATTTTATCCCCCACGTTTTTCACAAAAAAAAAAATCCTAAGCAAAGCAATCAAGCGTTGAATAAATAATATCATAGCGAAGAAGATATTGTATCAACCAAAAGATGAAAGCTCTGCGGAAGCAGTTCTAAATGCAAGCAAGGTAAGACTATTAGAAAATTTGTGATCCCTTCCCGCAAATATGCAGCAGAAATAATAAATATATAACACATTAGCAGTATAAAATTTAAAACTTGTCCTCATTAGCATATTGCAGCATTGTATTGAGAAATGATTAGCATTTTAGTTGATTGTTAGCTGATTTATTAGAATTAAGTTGTTGAGATGAGAGTTAAGTTTGTTAGAGAAGCAGGAATAAAAAGTAAATAAAAACGACTCTTAAGTGAATAAAAAAAGACTTTAAAGTAAACCTATTAGCTCAAGTGGTAGAGCACTATGCAGATGCATAGAGGTGTAGGTTCGATTCCCACATAGGTTATCTTATAAAGTAATTATAAAACACTTTAAAGTTATTCAAAATATTTGAGTTTTTCTGACTGTTAGTTCTAGATAAGATGTTTGGAATTAACAAGGTTTTATGCAATCAAAAACTTAGTTGTCCTAAAAGTAAATAATATTAAATTTAAAGTAAATAAAAAAAACCCCTTTAAAGTAAACTTATATTCTCCTGCTCCTCTTTTGCCTTTGATTCATCTAACCTTGGGTTTGTGTTAGAGTTTTTATGACTGTTAGTTCTAGATAAGTTTAGTAAATAAAATCTAATTTAAAGTAAATAAAAAAGACTTTAAAGTAAATCGAAATATTCAAAAAGTAAATACGAACATTTCAAAATTAGAGTGAATAAAATAATAGTTTTATCTAATAAACAAACCTACGTGGGATTCGAACCCACATCTTTTGTGCATTTGCACAACGCTCTACCTGTTGAGCTAGTAGGCTAGTGTATATTCAACATTCAAAGTTGAACAAAATTACTCAAAAAGTAAATAAAAAGTACTCAAAAGTAAATCATAATAGCTTAAAAGTAAATAAAAAACACTAAAAAGTAAATCAAATATCGACAAAGTATATTACTAATATTAATTAGGAAAAATTAGGAAAATTAATCCCAACTTTCGTTAATTTGCGTGGAATAATCCCAACTTTTGGGAGCTTTGTTTTTCTTCAATCCCTACAGGTCACCTTACCTTCTACTTCAGGTAAAAGTCCTACGTGGCTTTATTTTTTGTTTTTTTTTTTGTGTGTTTTCACTTATTTCCTTTATTAAGGACGCTTTCCCTTTTTGTTACCGTTGCAATTCGTGTTTCCCCCTTTCTCTTACTTTCCCCTGTTCCCCCTTTCTCCTCTCCTCCCTTCTGCGAACAAATTGCTTGATGATTAATAATGGCAAGTGGTTCTTGTGGTTCTTCTGCGAACTCAAGTGGGGGATTTCGTTGTCCAACAATGAAGTGTAGTTGTGGGTTGGATGCGGTGGTGCGAACTGTCAAGAAGGGGCATAATTTTGGTTCGAAGTTTTATGGCTATCCTAAATGGCCGATAAGTCGTGAAAAATAATGGAGTTGCAATTGTTTGTTTTTAAAGTTTGGTAATTTGAACCTAATTTCTACTTAATTGAGTTTAATTTCAGAATTAGGGTTTCACATAAGTGATGCTTTATATGAATTCGATTGGGATTGTTGTGTGTAGGATACGAATTGCAATTTTATGAAGTGGATTGAAGCCAACAATGAGGATGATCTACGATTTCAAATATTTGAGAAGGACACTACTATAGCAGAGATGCAATATCAGAAGACATTGATGGAAGAGAAGCTGAAGAAAGTGCAAGGAAGGAAAGAGAAACTGGAGGGAGAAGTGAAAGAATTGAAAAGGGAAGTTAGCCAGCTGATGATGGAGCTTATGCACTGCTCAAGGGTTGAAACAAATTTCTATAGGAATCTCATCTTTGTTTGTATCATAGTGGGCATTGTGATGGTGTATCTGAAGTAGGTAGGATTTTAGAAGTGAAAGAATTGTGTTTGTAATTGTGACCTTTAATGGTTTGTGAAATGAAATCCTTTTTTGTGCAAAAGTTTTTGAATTAAGTGAGATATGCAAAAATATTATATGAAAAAGAGTACACTAAATAAACAAGGATAATGAAATAACCTAAATAGCATAGATAACTATTCCATTCATACATATCAATGTTTACCAAAAGACACATCTAGACCTAATGTGATATTAGTTTGGTTAGCTGATTTGCATACAAAAGCACCTATTTCATGCTGACATAATGTCATAATTTTTTGTGCAACAAAAAAAAACAAAAACCATAAGCACACAATCAAGGTGCTACTGAGGCTGCTGGGTCATTGTAGACTGTTGACTTGGCTGGGTGCCCATAACCAAGAAATTCAGAGCACCTTGGTTCACTGATATAGTCCTACCCCTACTGCTTCTACTCCTATGGGTTGGAGCTCCCCTTGTGACCTGTGAGCCATGCAAAATCCAGATTCAGTTTATACACCACAAACAAATTCAACAAAATACATAATAAATTAGAATTGCACAGAACACACATACATTAGTTGTGACAGATCCATCTTCTACAAAAAGAACACCAACTCCCCTTGGTGGCTGAGATCTTCCCCTTCCTCTCCCACCTCCTCCTATGCTTCCCCTAGCTCTGTGACCCCTTCCTTGGCCTCTTCCACCAGTAAATTCACCAACTGCAACACCAGTTTGGTGAGACTAGCCTCTCCCAGCAATTGAGTGGCCCCCCTTGGAGCCTCTCCCTCTTCTTATAGCTCTGCCTCCTTTCCCAAGCTGAGTTGGTTGGGCAGACACTCCATGGTGTGGATTAGCTGTCTGTTGTTGTGGTTGTTGAGGGCCAGAGGTTTGGTGTTGGTTTGATTGCTGTCCATCAGACCTTGGTCTTCCCCTAGGCCTAGCTGCAGGTTCAGGTGGGACAACTTTGCCCTTTTCAGGACATTTTCTTTTGTTGTGACCTTTCACATTACACAGTGAACAGGTCATTTCCACACCATTTTTGGTCAACACCCCAGGCTTCGTTGGGTTCTCATAAGGGTCCTTCACCCTCTTCTTTCTAGGTCTGCCTGGCCCAATTTTGATGGGTGGTGGCTGCAATTGGTATGTCACCTTGGGCCAGTAACTTTCCCCAACCAAAGGAGGAATTAAGCCTGGTACAAAGCATAGAGCACATTAGTTAGAAGCATTTTGTTAAACAATAGCACAACTAAGCCACTTTGTAAAATACTACCTGCATAAGCTGTCATGTAGCTTTCTTTTGTGTAACACTGGTGCACAAACTCTTCAGCTTCTCTGTTCAGAAATAAAATGCAAGCAATTGCATGCTTTCAGGGAATGCCTAGCATATCCCACTTTCTTCAAGTACATGACATTGTTTCCAGATTCACAACAACCTGATCTGTGAAACATGTAACATTGAATAGTTGCATTGTTGATGGTAGCACCTCACACATGGCATCTTTATCCTTCTCATGATCCAGCTTTGTCTGAATCCTTGGGCATAAAACAGATGTACACTTCTCCATCAGTTGCTTTTTCTGAACTATTCTGTGCATCAGGTTTGATCTGATTTCCTCAAGCATGTGCAGCAGATGCTTGGTTCTTGCATTTATAATATAGCCATTGAAGGTTTCAGCTATATTACTGGTTATTGCATCTGTCTTAATGTCTGTGCTAAGGAATGCTCTGCAAAAGTTTTCTGGGTTATAAGCTTTAAAAGCCAGTGCTACTTCAACATTGATCTCATTCAGCTCAGCAAGTGCTTTTTCATAATCAGCCTAATTGTAGCACTTTGCAATCTTCCAGAATTGGAGTTTGAATTCATCTCCCCTATAAGATTTAGACCAGTTGACATAGACATGCCTAGCACAGTGTCTATGTTTTGCTTGAGGGAGAACTGAAGACACACCACTTATGATTGCCTGCATAATAATCAAGGGCACCATAAACAACTATGTATACAATTTACCAAGCCAAATACATTACAAACAAATTCCAAACCAACTAATCATACCTGATGCTCATCACTGAGGATTGCTAGACCTGTACCATCACCAAGCTCCAGAGATGTCTGCACATGCTTGAAAAACCATTCCCAACTCAAGATGTTCTCCCCTTCAGTTACAGCCCAAGCCACAGGGAACATCTGATCATTTGAGTCCCTCCCAACAGCACAAAAGAGTTGTCCACCCAAAAAGGTCTTAAGGAAACAACCATCAACAGCTAACACTTTTCTGCATCCCTCCTTCCATCCTTTAGCCAAGCCCTGAAAACAAATATACAGTCTCTGAAATATTGGAGGGGGTTGTTTTGGCATCACAGTAACCAACTCAGAATGACTCCTAGGACTGCAACTCTCAAGGGCAGCCAAATATCCCCCAACTTTTTGGTAATGCTCATATATTGAGCCATGCAAAAGCTTGTGAGCTACATATTTCACTCTGTATGCAAACTATCTTATCACAATGACCTTGAATGCCCTTTTAATGCAGTCTACAATTTCCTTGGCAGGCCAATGTGGTCTGGTTTTGAACACATCAAGGAATTGTTGTGCAACCCATTTGTCCTTCATTTGCCTATTCTTCTTCATTGTCCTATTGCAAGTGTGCTTACCACAAACTCTTTTCACTATGTAAGAAGCTTTCCTAGAGTGCCAGGAAGCATAAATGTAAAAAGGACAATCATCACTACACTTTACACCTAACCTTTGTTGCTTGTTCTTGTTACCAACATTGAATGTTAGATTTTTCCCCTGTACTACAGCATACTTAGTTACAGCTTCTCTGAAGTCCTCTCTCTTTGCAAACCTTAATCCAACTTTCCATTGGAAATGAGAAAAGTCTGAGTCTGGACTCACCAAAAGAGTTGATGCCCTCCTCCTTCTCACATCATCACCATCTTCATCACTACCTGCTGGTGACAATGTTTCATCCCCATTGTCTTCATATTCACTCAAACTAGGACCACCTTAAGCTTCAATCAGACTGCCTGGAACCTCTTCTTCTGTAGCCTTTCCCTTAGCAGCCTCTCTCTGTTTCTGTTGAGCAAGCTCAACCAACTGACTGTTGCAAGCCTTTACCCTCTCCTTGGCAATCTTAATTAAACTCCTCATCACTAACATCAGATTCACTTTGCAAATCTTCACCAAAAAGAGCTTCATCAAATTCCTCTTCTATTTCTAGATCTATCTTCTCCAAATCCACCTCTACACTCACATCAGCTTCACAATCACCTTCCTCTTCATCCTCAGTGTCAACATCAGTGAACACTTCACCAAATACCCCAGCACCTACTTCTGAACTCCCTACAACTACTCCTTTTCCTTTGTCTACCCTAGGATCATAAGGAGGATCTTGGTCATCACTGTCAGAGTAATCTGGGATGAGGTCATTGATAGGAATTGGGCTATAAGGCCTGTCATCATACCAGTCAAAATCTAGATCCTCAATTGGTTCATGGTGTGATGTGGGTTTTTCTGTATTTGGGGAAGAGGTGAGGTTTAGAGGGGTTTTTTGTGAGGTAGCAGGAAGAAAAGATGAGGTTCTGAGGGGTGGCTCAGGGCTAGCATCTTTTATTTGGAGTGAGGTGGAAGACGCTCTTTTTTTAGGTGTGGAATCACCTTTTGAAATTAATTGTGGTTGAGTGGGTTGAATTTTCCTAGGACTTGACCTCACTTTAGTCAAAACAGTTTTATGTGGTGGTCCCCTCTTTGGTTTCAGTTTATGAGGTTTAGAATATTGAGGTGCACTTTGTGAAGCTTGTGTACTTAGTAAGGGTTGAAAATGTGTTGGCTGCTCTACTAGTTCTTGTGGGTCCAGTTCTGGGTCCTCTTCATCATGCAAGACATACAACTCAACACCCCTATACTTCCTCCCTAAAGCTGCCACCTCAACTGCATCATTATCATTATTAATTCTCCTCAACCCATTACACAAACTAAGTCCAGGAATCAAATATAATAGACCCTCAACACCCTTACCCTTAGAACATTCTTTACCCAACTCTAATAGCTCAAAATAAGATAATTCATCTGGGTCCACTGACTTTGTCATCCCTCTACCTCCCTCATATACCAATTCACCATTAGCTACTGTCTTAAACCCCCCTCCATGCCACACTTTCAATCTAATTTTCTGGAAATACGTACTCATATCAACCTAAAAACTCATCACAAAGCAACAAACACAAAAAATCCAATCAAAATTACTACACATCTATCAAGCAAACAAATCCAAAAAGAAATAAACTCAATTGTTCGATGACAAGGGTTAAATCGGTCGCTACAATCTAACTCTCAATCAAACAGTACTTATACGAACACCCTATAACCAAGTACAATGGCAAATAAAGGTTCGGTCCACGAGGAACGAGAGTAATTGCAAATCAATCTTAAACCTAAGCTAGTTCGAAATCAATGGAAAATGGTGTTCTAAAATAATACTAATAAGATGGAATAAATCAATAAACTAAGACACTAGGGAGAACGGGAATCCGCCTAACCATTGGTAACTAAGCAACAAGGAATCACAGAGACAAACGGGATATGAAAAGACTATAAGTCTGATCAATATCATGTGATAGGAAGACAACGGGCAATACTAAGCTTGGATTTCTCATGCACTTAACATTACTCGATACATAATCAAACCACATTCAATAATGAAATACTCAATTCACAATCTCTTGTTCAAATCAAGAATATCATGCAATCAAATTCAAGATTCTAGGTTAGCTACTCCTATTATAATGAATTAACATGCAATCGCATATAATCAATTTAATCACAATCCGTTTATCAAAATCAATCCTCAATTACATAGATTACCTAGGCCGGGTTTCATCCCGAAACCCTAGCTAGGAGACTACTCACACATATTCATAATCAAAGCAATAATGAATTCCAAAAGCATAATAGATATAAACATGAATTCTGATTAAGGAATAATAAAGCTTGATTAATAAACAAGAATGAATAATACCAATTGTATTGATGCGAATCAATGGAAAAGTTAAGAACTTTGATATCCGTCGTCAATGAATAATACAAAGAATCTTCGCAAATCTTGCTTCAAATCAATCCAAGAAAACTAAAATCTCTAGAAATATCTCTAAGAAAACTAATGAATCTCTAATACTAAGAACGTTCTCCAATAACTCTCTACAAAGGCTCTCAAAAACTATCTCTAAAACTGTCTGAGGAATCCTCTTAAAGTTGGGCCTTATATACGTCTTCTAATGCGGAGAAGTCAAGCGCGCAGTTAACCCTAGATCAGCACGGCCGTGCTGTATTTGGCACGGCCGTGCTAGCTTGTCAGTAAGTAAACCGGATTTCTTCTTCAAATTGGCACGGCCATGCTATATATGGCACGGCCGTGCAGCTTCCTGGCACGACCGTGCTAAAAATGGCACGGCCGTGCTGAATATGCTCTAGCACGGGGCTCATACTGAAGCTGACACGGGCACGTGCAACATCTGGCACGGCCGTGCTAATGGCCTGCACGGCCGTGCGGGTGCGTGGATACTGACACGGCCGTGCTATTGGCTTGCACGGCCGTGCTGCCTTGCCTGGGGTTGCTTGCTTATAGGCCAGCACGGGTGTGCCTATGGTAACACGGTCGTGCTGCCTGTGCTATGTAATCAATGCACGGCACTTGAACTTCCTTAACTCCTCGGACTCCGGTCAAGGCTAGCTCGGTTACGCATCAAGGGCTCGGGATCCGATTAAACTCGGTTGATATTACCTGAAAACACATCAAAAACAAACCGAAAACCCGTGAAGCACGTAATATGGGGAACGTAAGCATAACAAGGTAATAATCGGCCAAAGCGGCCCCAAATACATCCAAAATCATCCTAAAATATGCTCTAAAGCGCGCCCTAAAGTGCGCTTGTCAAAACCCCCCAAGCTACACTTTTGCTAGTCCTCGAGCAAAAACCAAGGGAAACACACACAAGATCAAATAAACTATGCCATTGCGAACAAATCAAATTAAGCACGGAATGAAATCAATGGATCCTACTTAGAACAACCATGCACGGAAGGAAAACTCACTCAAACAAGCAACGAGACACACAATCCAAGATATCGTTGATCAAATGCGAACAAGACCTAAACCAAGCATAGAGAACAAAGAAATCGTGCTTCCCTCTAAACCCGACCAAACCGACCACGTCCTCCCCTTTTGCTTCAAATCACCACCCTAATTGGCCCCTCGTGATTCCTCGAAGGAACCGGAAGAAGTGATGTTTTGAGGAAATAACAAAGGTATCCCGACATCTCGATTACGCATAATCTTTCCATAGGGTTGAAAGGTATCTCCCTCCACCGTTTGAGAACCGAACACCTCTAAAGTCTAAGGGTCTTAAAAGGGTTGTAATGTATTGGCAATGGGTAAGGTAGGTGAAAACAATTTAAAAAAGTGGGGTTAATTCCTAAATGAAGCGCAAGAATCACAATTCTCAAAAACAATAGTTCAAAAGATGTAATTCACTTTCCACAATCTCATTGATTCACATTCTTACACATCCCAAATTATCCATATACTACACACTCAAATGACCTCTTTCAAACTTCAAAACTTTATTTATGTGTCCTTGCCTTTTTCACAATTCGGACGGCTTTTCTCTTCTTCTTTTTTTTTTCCTTTTTTTTATTGATGGCAAAAATGACTTTCACATTACATATTTACAATTAGGCTCACTTTCACACCTGCTCAAACCAACTATCAAACTTTATTTCTTGATTAGTAAACAATAAGCACAACAAACCTATCTAGGTAAACGCTTCACAACTAAGGGTTGGTAAAACATTGGCCATCGGGTTTGTAACACGGTTAACCAAGAATGGAATTAAAGCTCAACATGGTTAGCAAGTA